ACTCGTCAACAACTTCGAGCATAGTGCTCCAAACAATTACCGGCATATGTGTGACATGGACATTAAACATGATCTTAGTTTCGTCCATGTTCATCTTAAGATCTATCCGTTGGGAGACACCATTGAGGTCATTGAGCATAGTGCTTAGGTCCTCCAGCGATTCTGCCATAAGAACTATATCGACGGTAAATCTAAGGTGAGTGATGTACTCATCATTGATGTTAATATCGTATCGTTTCCAGTCCAGTAGCTTGAAAACGTCTTTCAATGCAGCGGCGAAGATTTTCAGGGATATTACGTCACCCTCTCTTTAACACCTCCCTGCAATTGGATAGGTTTCGAACTCCGGTTCTGTACTCGGCTAGCCATCGTAGCCCTACTATATAAACACTTCAGCACTTCGATATACCGACAGTCAACTTGGCACCGCTGAAACGACTGTAGTACCACCCAAATTTCAACGAAATCAAAGGCTTTCTCATAGTGCAAATACGCCAGACAAAGTGGCAAATTGTACTCTTTGGTCTTCTGTATAATCTGACACAGGGTATGTACGCGATCTATGGTGCTGAAGCCTACACTTATGAGTGTTATAGGCGGGAACTTGACCGTCGACGGATTGTTGCTCCTGTTTTATCGTTTAAATAATGGTTTGAAGTGGATTTTGATAAAAGTGATGCAATTTTGTGTATTAAGTATCTGCACATGTAAAATAATAGAGAAAACTACGAAACATGCTTCGATGTTAAACAAACCTCAAGTTATTTTGATCGTTAAGGCGCCTTATGAATATGAAAAACTTCGCAATATTACGCATCAGCATATTATGTAGAAAAAATCTATAAAAACAAAGATCTCTAATGAAATGAAGACATGGCTCAAAAGACAAGCATCCAAGTCAAAAATCTTAGTTAAAATACACTTGTAAGTATGTGACATGACCCGTGCAGGTGACCCAAAATCGATTTAAAAGTATTTCTTACTTCATGATACGAGTAAGCTCTTTTCTTGAAGGTCCCTTAGTTGTATCGGTCTGGAAAGATCGCCGGTGGTAAATGACACAGAGGGATTGTACGAGGAAGAAAACTCCTAGTGTGTGTTTGTGTGTTTTAGTGTGTTTAACGCCAAGTATCCAGATGGTATGGATGTTATAGTGAGTTTTGACGCAAAGTGCGTTCGTGAAATTTGGCAACTGGAATTAACCCAAACACTTGCTCAGGACAGTCTCCGTGGTAGATGCGATAAAATATGCAAAGGGATATAATATCTCTTCGCAGCGTCAGTAGATCAAGTCGAGTCTTCACTCGATTTCGAGATTGTAGACAATTCGAGCCGCTTTGTACTGGATTCGGTCAAGTAGAAGGAACTTGCACTGGGGAGCCCGGGCCCAGAGATGGGAACAGTATTCCATGTGAGGCAGAACCTGCGCCTTATAAAGTTGTGCTGATATCCGGGCATGAAATACCACTCCGCTCTGTTGAGCACGTCAAGATTTTAGAGACCAATTTGACCTTATCTTCCAAGTGACCACGAAACTGCACGTCACTCGATATGTCAACGCCGAGGATTCGGATACTGGCTGAAGCAACAAAGGCAGTGCTTCGAAACTGAGAAGATACGACGTATAGGGAACGTCTTTTTCGCGGTAAATGCAAAAACTCGTGTCATCTGGGGATTAAGCTGGACTAAATTTAGACAAAAGCAATGAGAGACTTCGTTCAGTAAAGACTCGATCCTGAGATCGATCTGAGTCTTTGCTGAACGAACATAAGTTTGTTCCGGTACTCGGTGACGTTTTCCCGACAAATATTGGCAAGGACAGTGTTTAGAGCATTACCAGTGCTGTCATCCACATAGCAATGAATGTTACCTGTTTGTAACATATCATTGATATACAGAAGAAACAGCGTTGGTGATAACACGTTAACCTTATTAAACACCAACATTAATAGACGTGTAACGAAACTGCATGCCGTCTACTACGACCTTGATGCTCCGATTTGCAAGAAAGCTGGTGATTTAAATGCATAATTTCTCGGGAAGCCCATTAGATGGAAACTTCGAAAGGAGCGCTTCGTGCCAAACCTGATCGAAAGACTTCACTATATCTAAACTAACCGGTGAGGCCTACCTCTTGGACTCAACCGCCTGCACCCATCGGTGTGTGAAGTAAACAAGAAATTCACCATCTCTACGATCCTGACGGAAACTGTACTGGCAGTCACTAATAAGCTGGTGCTCCTCATGATACCGTGTGAGTTAGCAGTTAATGATCGACTCTATTATTTTTGAGAACAAGGAGGTGATGGCGATAGCCCAGTAATTGGATCAGAGTGGTTACCTTTTTAAAGGAACCGATTCTTGCACGAAAGTGGTCTTCTAGTTACTAAGAGTACCGAAAAGAGGCGTTACCGTAACCGGTGCCAACTCTGAAGTACCTCAGCATAATTTGGGGAATTTCGTCAGGTCCACTGGACTTGTTGATGTCCAGGGAGAGGAGTGTTTTGCGAACCGAGCGCTGTGTGAACCGCACATTTGGCATGGAGCACTCACACGGAAGGTCAGCGGTGTGTTAATCGTCATCGAGGTTCGAGTTGAACGCAAAGAGAGACCCAAGCAGATCGGATTTCTCCTTTGCGTCATGGGCCAGTGAGTCGTCCTCCCTAATTTTATTGTCAAGGGAAATTGATTGGTACCTACATTGAAATTTTTATGACCGTTACATTTATTATTTAAACATGTAGATTATAAAACCATAAATTAGCAGATAAAGTCTAGAATTTTATCGATTCTATAAGTTATTCTAGTTTTATTACAATACTGGTGTTTCTTAAGTATATGAAAATAAGTTTTATTAAATTTTCTGCCTATGATTTAAATTTTTGGTGTAGTATAGACTAAATCGTAGATATAGTCCACCTTTTAGTTGATTATTAGTTCAAAAATGACTAATTTTATATATTAATTGGTGTATAACAGATTCATAAGGAGTTCATCATATCAGTTGCTACAAACTGTGGTTGTTACAATAAATCTAAATAATTAGCAACAATCCTATTCTTCTTCATGATCGACCAAACATTGCACTTACATCTGATTTCGTTTTTTTTTCAGAATTATATTTAATATTGGAATTTATTGTATTATAATTCGATTATTTTTATCTGTGATGACTAAATAAAACATGGACAACACGGTGAACTCCTTACTCTATGACAAAATTTATTTAGGATATAAGCAGTTTTGAAAAATGTTTTAACACTTGTCGGAAAGTACAATACGATAAGCCAATTGTGTGGGAAATAAAAGGATAGCGTTAATTATTAAAAATGGTAAAAGTGTGAGAAATGATGTTCAACGTGCTCTCTTGCTTGCGCATTTTATCATTATCAATAACAGGACAGCGTAACCACAGAATAAATAATAGTACTACGTACAGAAGTTTCACTCTTTTAATGTTGACTGCTTGCCGACGTTTAATAGCCTACATAATTATTATTAATTAGATAAATCGCGCTCGCAAGCTTAATAAAACTTAATCGCTGCGCGAGAGTCCGTATTACTTTGCACATTTTCCTCTTCCTACGTTACGGTGGACTTTCCGTTGTTATGGAGGGATGTCAATAAAGAGTAACAAAATACATTGCGAAATATTAATTACCTAAGTAACCTTACTTAGGTGAAATACCTATTCTGACTATGATCGACAGACCATATTTTCGCACCTACGTGAGTTCTGCGATGCCTATCGCATGCAACTTGCAAGGCCATTCATCGGGAATCGCGACGCTTGACTCGGAAGGAAAAGGTAGATAGTGTGAACAACAAATAAACTTGAAATACGATTCCTAACAGAAATGTAATCGTATTCTACTTAGTTAAAAATTTTTTTGGTAAACAAAGTTTTGATTTCAGTGTTTTGTGTTATTTTAGCTTAAAATATTTTAAGCTAAAATAACAGCTTAAAATATTTTAATACAAAAGGCAAGTACATGAAGTAAATTTCCACTAAATTTTGTAATAAAGTTCGTAGATATTAAATAAATTATTACTTAATTCTTTTTTGCTGTAAGTACCTATCTAACAATAAAAATTAAATAAGTTCACGTTTCATAACTTCCTACTAAAATCCTTCGGTAATAAAGTATGATACATCTGAAATATTTTGTTGGCCATTTAGCGTCTATCCACGCAACAATTATAGTAGAAACGACGTTTTGCCATATTAAATTTTATTAAATAATGGGTAATATATATAATATATAGTTCTTAAATTATATTAAAACTATTTTATCCTATAATTAAATATACTAAATACTAAACAAAAACTATTTCAACAATATTTACAAAAAGTTATATACGTAAACAGCGTTAAAAAACTTTAATATTCAATAGCCTCCAACGCGCTAGCCCTGACTGCGTTATTTCGCCCGGGCGCGTCGCGATTTTAGGTAATTATTTCACGTAGGTAGCAAGAGTGATAGAGCCTCGCGTAACGCACTAAACATTCAGCATAGAGTAATTACAGTTTGACCATACCGCAGTATGTTCCCATCACAATTACACGCCAGTGCAATGTGAAGAACACAACTACATGATAGCACCAAATTATGCAAACCAACAGCAACCTTACCCATCTCAATATAACATAGCACAGCCTCTCAGCAACACCATCCTCCTTGTCTGCACCAGAAGAATCACCACAATGGACAGAACAACTACTATCTTAGCACGCGTAGAACGACTTCACTCGTGAAACGATTCAAGCGGAATCTCACGCGCTCTGCCCCTACACTGAACTTTATACTGCACAAACGAGTGGGAGGGTTTCTCGATATACCCTCAATTTCAACTAGTCACTAGATCCAACCGGCATTTTATAGATGCGCCTACACATTTAATTTTCATATTTTAAATGTGAGCATTGCCTACTTTTTTATTTTCATCACGAAGAGATGGTGTATTTAAAAAATCTTTACTTACTTCAAAATATAACTTACTCTTTGTGGCCTTGAAAGTAAATATGTCTCCAGCTTATTTTTTATCATGAATGGGTGGTTTTGAGATTCGAAGTTTGGTTCAATTATATAATCTCGTGCAAAATCCAAGATCAGTTCTAGCGTTTGTTTCGTAATGTGCACCTTTCTGTAAAAAATATATTTTTTAATTTCCATTATTACCAATAATGAAAAGGTCAATACTTTGTAGTAGATGTTAGCAAAAAAAAAAAGAAGTTCAGTATAATTTTATTGGGAATTAGATTGTTTTTCATTACAATATTTGTGATGTCAATTAGTAGAACAAAAAAGGTTAATACAATCATCATCATTATCTTCATCATCATTAAAGTCCATCACAAATCCACGGGTGTAAGACCCCTTCCAAGGAATTACAAAAAGTACAGGGCCGTACTTTGTGGCATATCACCTGTATCTATCAACTTTTTGCATCTTTTACTAAGTCGTCACTCCGTCTAGCGAGAGGCCACCCTATACTCGCTTTACGGTACGAGGCTGCCACTCCAAAACATTACAAACTAATAAGAATTAATGGAACTAATAAAATTATGTAAGCAGAAATTATGTTATTTAATTATAATTTTACAATAAAAAATTACCCCGCCTTTCCAGTTGATTCCATTTTATTTGCAATAGTAACATCTTTGGACCAAATATCATACTGCCATTTTCGAATGCCAATAAGCCCACTTAAAATTTTTCCGGAATGTACGCCAATCCTCATATCAATATTCAAGGAACGTTTTTCTCTAAAGGAGAAATTCAGAAATTAGACAACACTTAAGACATCAATAACTTTATCGTTAAGTTAATTATTGATTAAATTTAAATAAAAAAATTGCCAGTTAAAATACAAGATTTAAATTACCTTACGTCTTTAATTATGTTAATCATTTCCAGACCTAAGTCAACACAATTCTTGGCGTGCAAATTACTTGGTTTTGGTACACCACTAACACAGTAATAGCAATCACCTAAGAACTTGATTCTTAGTACATCATATTCCTGCAAAAGAAAATATATTTGTGTCACTTACTTAAATGAATTTTAAACAAATAATAATTTTCAAATAATTTATACTTCGGAAGCTTCGTCGAAACGACCAAACAACTCGTTCAATAACTCCACCATTCGCATTGGCGACAAAGTCGTTGATATCTTCGTATAGTTTACCACATCCGCGTACAAAATGCTTACATTTTCGTGTTCTTCTACGTATAGTTTGCTGTGGAATATAATTAAATGTTTTGACTAATATATTTTAAAGTTTTTTTTTAGTTTAAAAAAATAAATGGTTTGATCGATCTTTAATATTATTGCTAAAGTATTTACTGACCACATAAATTATTGCTAATTTATGTGGTCAGTAAATACTACGATATTAAATAAAGCCGACCGATCTGCATGCTAAAAATACGTTGATTTATTAATAAAGATCATGTGATAGAATTTTCTCCCCTAAGTACAGACGCGCAGTTCGTGATAATACCTAACCTAACCTGATCTAATTAGGTTTTCGTGTTTAATATTGCGTAATATTATTTTAATTAATTAATAGATATCCAGCATAAGCAAATGCTTTTTTAGGAAGGATTGACATTTAATTAAACTATTTTTTTGCAATTATTTTATGTTACCTTCATTAGAATTTTTAATCAGATTTGATTGTAATTCTTAGTAAAGTTGATTTTCAGTAAACAAAATATGCTTTATTTGTTCAAATTTTTTACCTCGTCTCTTTATGGAATTGTGGCCGCGGAAGGAAAAGGGGGAGATCAGATGATATATATATATATATATATATATATATATATATATATATATATATATAGAATAGCTCCGAACTATCACACAGAGCGTTGGCCGCTCCCCAGGCAGAACAACTTACTCGGCGGGTGATCTCCTCCCGCCGAGTAAGTTGTTCCTCAGGGCCTGGTGCTGGGGCCGCTACTGTGGCACCTCGCCTATGATGCGGTTCTGCGAATCAATCTTTCCTCTGGTATACATATCGTTTGTTATGCTGATGACACATTGATGAACGCCAGCTGGATTACTTAAGCAGCTAGGCAAACTCGGGGCGAAAGTCGCGTTCGCCAAAATCCACGAGCTTTGATTAGAAATAGCGCCTACAAAACCGAAGTCCGATGGTTCAATAAATTACCACGACGCACGAAACCACCCAACTCGGATGCACGAGTGGGTGGGTTCTGAAGTCAGATTGAGGGGAGGGGTACATGAAGTGCCTAGGCCTCCACCTGGATAGTACCTAGGGCTTCGAACTCCCCTCGGCCTAGTCTCCCGGATCAAAAGGGTAGCGTGTGCAATGTTATACACTGCTGCCCAATCTATGAGGACCGACGGAGGAAGTACGTCGCGTCTATGTGGAAATTTTATGGTTCATAGCTCTGTATAGAGTGTCTGTATGGGCAAAAGGGCTGGCCATTATATGCTTTAGAAATAAAGCTCTTAGTGTTCATCGGAGGATAGCCCTACGTATCGTAGGAGGATACCACATATGTGTGGCGACTTTGAAATGGCGACAATCCTGGCTCGCTTTTCATCTCTGTACCCCGAGCACTGGACATACTGGCGGACATGGATACTAGGGCTTATGACCGGATCCGTGCTCTTTGCCAGAGTGGTTGTAGCGAGTCAGAAGAGGCGCTTATATCAATAAAACGGCAGGAACGGCAAAATACTTTGGCGACATGGTGCACTCGACTCGAGGAACGTTATGAACACAAAAGCTTCATTGATGCAATTCTGCCAGTTTTCGAATCCTGGATGCTTCAATGAGTAGAAAGAATCACCTACAGACTAACACAGATAATTTCCGGTAAGATCGGACACGAGGCGACAGCGAACTGCTTCCATTCAGTGGGACCAAGACTTCGTATCCCATATTGCGGTATGTCCAGTGGCACGGGAGCAGACGATCCTGGTGAACCAAATCGGACGAAACCTCTCCCTGCCAGTAGTCGTTTCAATGATACTGAGCAGAGATTCCGCGTTGAGGCCCGTAGCCACCTTCTGTGAATTCGTTATGCTTCATAAGGAGGCTGCTGAGCGGGATCGGGAGAGGACGTCGCCAAGGCGTTCGTCACGGCTCTCCATTTGAAGGTGGTGTTTCCCTATCAGAGATGGGGCCTCTGGAGTTACAGACGGCCGGGTGGGGGCCCCATACGTAGCCCCGAAGTAACCCCCTAAGAGGACGATGTCTCAAAAGTGATCACGAGATAACGTAATAGCACTGTGAGAGTGCTGGCGGCAGATACGACTGCTGTGCTTTAATAAATCAAGGCGAAAGATGGGTGCATCCCGAATGGAGAACCCGGGACCCCTCATATACGCTGATGATCACCGTAGGTGATAGTCCGGTAGGAGTCCGCCATAACCTTTTCATTGCTTTCGCAGTGAAAGGTGTCTATAAAGATTTCCCCAAGAAAAGAAAAAAATTAAGTTGGGTTAGGTTTGTGGCGCGTACGGTGTTGTTCCCGTGCACCCCTACATGAAGAAGAAGTGGAGAACTCTACTCCGATATCAAGGCGCACCCTGTAAGAGTGGCAAGGGAAAGCATTCAATTAGCCCCAACTAAGGATTAAGAGATAAACACCGTAGGGTTCTGACAGTCGCCTTCGGGATAGGCCGGCGTGTACGAGGATTTCCCCAGTATTAAAAAAAGTTTAGGTTAGGTTTAATCACGTCTTGACTGGGGACGTCATTTTCATAAATAAGTTAGTGTCTTAAGACAAAACGTGACCTGCACTCTCGCTATTCCTTTATCTCCTATTCAATAAATTTCCGGTTAAACTTTCGGTGTTATTTAGAATGTCTAGGTAAGGTATGAAATAAATAATATTTTATATATCGCCTGAATGTTTTAGGTATTCTATACAATACGGGATTATACTAGGAAAATAGATGTATAAATGGATTAATTTTAATGGCATACTCTAATCTGATAACGCAACAAGCACGTCATTATGAATAATGCCAAATTATTCTTACTTAAAAGATTTTATGTTGAGAGTGTTGCTTTGTGATTGGATATCTAAAAACATTGTTCTTATGTCTTGCCGTACTTTAGACACGATGTGCTCTGGTAAGATACTTAACATAAGACGTTCCTGGAAAACGAAAAAATACATTAATGTAAATGTGTGCAGACTGTATTTGAGAACAAATTTATAGAAAATAATGTTACAAATATTTTTATAACAAAAGCTGTGTTAAAGTTAAAGCAATAAATAGTAAACAAATTCAAAATTATATCAATAAATTATTTTTTATTAACACTAGCAGTATATTAGTCAACTCCACTGCTGAATATTAGCCTCCATGATAATAATATTGTTAAGAATTTATTTTCATATGTTTTGAATTTCAAACATTTGATATGCAACATTACTATACGCGAAAAAGTTACCCTGCAGCTTTATTCAGGTTGCATTACGAATAAGTTGAGGAAACATGCTTTCACATAATACACAACATAAGGTAGCAGAATAAGGCTGTAGTTGTTTTTTGTATAGTGAATTACGAGAACAAATGAAATATTTTAGTCCTAAGGGGTGACGATGCATTTGTATTTTTATTACAACAGGATGTATTAGTGTTTATGAATACGTGTCATCAAGTGCATAGACCGTATGCTCGTCAGTCACCTCCTCTAGAAAACCTTACATGATTATTAAAATATGTTTACCCTAAATATGATAATGTATGGTTTTGTGATAATAAAGAAAAATAATACACAAAAAAATATACACAAAGATGTTAAAGGAATAAGTTTAACTTCTGTCTGTTATCATGATTCGTAAAACATTTTTTGAAAGTATTTAATTACATGCAAGTAACACATGTTTAAGGAAAGATAAAATCAGTGAAACCCATCGTTAATCATTATCTTAATCTTCAGTCAAGAATGTAATTATAATCTAAAATATAAAAATTAATGTCTGCTTGTTCGTATTTTATACGCTGGCATACCGTTCGTCAGATTGTGATAAAACTGTCAACTTATTGCTTGAACTTGCGCGAAGGTTACATGCATAATACAATTAGATACAGTTGTGGTGGCTGTGGCGTGCGTACCGTCGAAATTATTTGAAAGTTATATGTCATTAAACTTCAATGAATGTATCATCTAAGAATTTAACAATATAACTCTCCTTAATTTAAAACTTCACCAATCATTTCTTCAACGCACCGATTACCAACTAGTACATAATATTAAATCAAAACAGTAATTAGAGAGTTCGACTAATCAAAAGTATTTTTATAATATATTTAATTTTGTAAAAGATATTTTAATCGTAATATTTATATTATTACACATTGTACAGCATACCTCTTGATCTTTGGCAAATTTTAGCCGTAAGGTACTTTCGACGCAAGCTCGTCTGTCCAAAAATGATCGTCTTGTTACGACTTCATTCATGAGTCTAAAATAAATACCCATCAAATTAACGCCGATCAGGTAAATAATGTCCGATGTCACCTAAAATTTGATTTTTTTAAATTGTTATTTCAGTTCTTATCACGAGTAGAAAAAAACAATGCAATGTGTGTGACAATAGTACCTATGTTGTATTTCTCCTTCGAAAATATTCCTAAATGTTTTCGAGGGGAACGATATTTCGTAATTATCAATAAATATATGGATAATACAGAAACTACACACTAACGTAAACTGATGATAGCTGGTTAATGACTGTCCGGCTAATCACCGTAATTAGGAACAATACATCGCAAGCGCGATGGTATTCTTATTGTAATTTCGTTAATGAGCGGTGGGAAACGTTCTGAATCCTGAAACCTATGTCAAGATCTTGAAGAGATATCGCAAAACAGACATCAGCAATAGATCGCGCTTACATATTTTGGCGCCTGCACCAACGCCATATGACAAAAGCGGGAGATTCGAGAGGTTGGATATTGAGCCACAACTCTGGAATCTCTACTACTGTCAGCTAACGGCAATGGGCAAAAGCGTCATAGGTGCAAAATCAATCCACCTGCATAGCGTGACGATTAAACTGTTCAACTTGAGAGGCCCTTACCCTGCAGATTTTACAGGCTGATGAAGAAGTAGAAAAAGAAGAAAAGCGCCAATCGTCGGTTGCCATAAATTAGTTTATTAACTATGACAAAGCATGCAAGTGATTTCGTCTATTTGAGAACAGTTGTTATATTCACCTTTCTGTATTTCCTATTATCTATAGATACATATAAAATTAAAATGTAAACATTTACCGCTGCCTGAATATTTGGCTCATTATAGTAGGTAAAAAAACGCGCAGGCCATAATGTAAATTACGCTGACAGTTAGGCCAAGCAATATCGCCAAGATATTGTTTCTCATGGGTAAAAAAATATAAACCGATAAGAGCGCCATTGAATCGTACGCTGGTCTCAGTGGTATGTCTTCGTGATAACTGTATATTGCTACCGATACATCTGAAAAATAAACGTGAAAACTCTATCACATAACTTTAGTTCACTCTACGGCTACATATAACGCAACAGGCAAAAAAAATATTTTAAATGGATTTAGAACAAAATAAGTTTCTTTTGAATTATTTGTATACACACACATACACAAAAAAGAAAAGATAATAGTTTAGCAGAAATGCCTTGCCATAAAAGACTTAAACGTTATCCTTCCTCAGTCCTGTAATAGCTTAAGCTTTTCGGTTATTCAGGAGTAACATTAATGTTTTTGGCTCTATTGATTAAATTTATTAGATGCCCAAGTCGCTGATAATCACAGTCGTCGCTATATCTATTGCCGATTAGGAATAAAGACTTTTATAGTAATATATAAATAATATACTGCAATAATATTAAGGGATACGAACCTGATGCAACGAGATCTGCTGTTATTATAAATGTGAATAATATTGGTATCCAAAACCATTTTCTTTTTAATGGGTTGTAGAAGAATTTCCATAGAGATATCGTAGGAATTGCTACTCTCAATAAGTACATACCCATTGCAAGATACGTTGATTTCCATTGAATTTTCTAAAATGTATTGATTATTAGTAATGATAATATAGTACTCAAAAGCTTGGATTATAACGAGTACTAAACAATACATAAAAAAGTTAATAAAATGTTGTTTATGGTCAGCTCTCAAATAGTTTCTTCGTATATATTTAATAATTAACCAAAATCTAACTTTGAAAAGTTTTGCTTTAGTTTGCGAATGGATGTTTTTACTATACTTCTGACCCATCTAACTCATCGACATAGAATTAAAACAGGTTACAAAATAACACTCGGAGTAACTTAATTTTACGTTCAGAATAACATCTGGGATAACTTGAATAAATTCCTCCAATTCACGCGAGCGAGGTACTAAAGGTATCTTGGTAATGGCATGGTAATGATATTAAAAAATAATTTATTTTTTAAAATATCATCATCATTCTCGTGGTTTTTTTATAGAATAGGGGGCAAACATGCATGCGGCTCACCGGATGTTAAGTGACTACCGCCGCCCATGATCAAACGCAACACCAGGGGAATTGCAGGTGCGTTGCCGGCCCTTTAGAAAGGAGTAAGCTCTTTTCTTGAAGGACCCCAGGTCGTATCGGTCCGGAAAAATCGCCGGTGGTAAACTATTCCACAGAGGTTGTACGCGGAAGAAAACTCCTTTTGAAACGTACAGTGGTGGACCGCCAAGCATCCAGATGGTGTGGATGGTATCGGGACGTTTGCCGCGTAGTGCTTTCACGAAATTTGGCGGCTGGGATTAATCCGAACAATTCCTCAGAACACTCCCCATGGTATATGCGAAAGAAAATACAAAGAGATGCAACATCTCTTCGCAGCGCCAGTGAATCGAGCCGATCGGAAAGCACTCGGTCGTCGACGATTCGAGCCGCTCTGCGCTGGATGCGATCAAGTGGAAGGAGCTGGCACTGGGGAGCCCCAGCCCAGAGATGGGAACAGTATTCCATGTGCGGCTGAACCTGCGCCTTGTAAAGTTGCAGGCGGTGTGCCGGCATGAAATACTGTCCCGCTCTGCTGAGCACGCCAAGGCCAAAAAGCCAAGGCGTGGTCTTCTCTTTCAAGTAAACACGAAACTGCACGTCACTCGATATGTCGACGCCGAGGATTCCGATACTGGCTGAGGCAACAAGGGGCCTTGAAACTGAGGAGATACGACAAAGGGGTTCTTTTTAGCGGTTAACGCGCAAACTTGTGTCTTCTGGGGGTTAAACTGGACTAGATTTAGTCGCCCCCAATCCGAGACTCTGTTCAGCAAAGACTCGACTTCAGACACAAGTTTGTCCCGGTACTCGGAGATGTTTTCCCGAGAAATATTGACACGGCCGGTGTAAAGAGCATCACCAGTGCTGTTATCTGCATAGCAATGTGGTCATCATTATCATCATAGCCCATCACAAGTGCGGCCCTGAACTACCTGCATCGATCTAATTTCTGTATCTCTTACCTTGTTGTTTCTAAATCCAGTGGGGGGGGGGGGGGGGGCTGCCCTACACTTCGCTTGCTGGTCCGAGGCTATCACTCGAGAATCTTTCTTTTCCATCGGGTACCGATGGTGAAATATCAAAAATGATAATTACTCTCTAGCGAGTATCGCAAGAGTTGACTTAGGGACGTGGTCGTAAATATTGTTCACGTACGTATACCAACGACAGGAAGCAGCGTCAAAAACTCAAGATGCCTGGAACGTCGTTTGCCAATACGTCAACAAAACGTGGCGATTACGACAAATATTCGACCGAGTCCCATGTTTTGGTGACAGACTGTCAACAGGCTCATCAGGAGCACTGATGCTCTAAGAACAAGTTTTAAAACTAACGAGTCCGTTTAAGCGGGGAATTCACTGGGCGGACTTGCCCACCGGCGTGCCTGCCAGACTTGGCTACTATAGGTCTGTGCAAAGTTTAATAGTGTAGGACCGTCGCAGTCAGTTTGGCACATTTGCCTGAACGTGAATATTAACTGCGGGCTGTCTGTTCACAGACACAAGACCGACAGTAACCAGTGCAAACGGCCATTTATTATTATTTAACGAACTTTTGAGATTTTCAATTTGCAATGAGTTTTGATGGTAATAAAATATTCTGGGAAGAGTTTATACGATTCTAAATCCATGCGCTAATTATTGTACAGGTCTCCTGGGTCATTAATTTTTGATTAATGATGTAAATTGATATAGCTAAACTTATTTAAATTTTAATACCATTCTTGCAATTTAAAGCTAATCTTGTGTATTAATCTTTGTGGGTTGCGGACAAATGACCGGACAAATAGCCCTTGGGCACGTCCGTCTAGTGAATTCCCCGCTTTACAGTTAGAACGTAATATTTGAAGTTGTAAAAATTAGTTTGCTTCTATTCGCGTAATGAAATATAATGATGTATCTTACCTTGTTTGAAGAGGTATTTCATTACGTGGATATAAAAAAAATTACAACTTTAATGTGATGAATTTCCGTAAAGTAACGCCTGATTCTAATAATTAACTTATTATTTGGCGCTTTTTTGAGCGGTTCCGTGTCATCATGAACTAAGTTGTACGAAAGTCCCTGGAGGACGTCAATGTAACTACGTTTTTCATACAAAGTCACTGAATGGCAATATGAATTCGATAAGATAGAAAAATCGTGTTCAGAAAAATCGTATTCAGGTGGCTAAAGAGCGTGACTATTTATTACATTATTTATACTGTTGTTTTACGCTGATATCCTGTAAGAAATCCTTCTCCGGTCGAGTCAACCCTTAACGTAATACTAAAGCAGCAGAACTGCACCACCGACTGAATTAGGAATCGATAACTGAGTACCTCACATTCTTAACAATGAGTTGGGGACTTTCCCATTATCATAACTGATATCAACTGTGTTAAGTGGAAGTAGCGTTATTAAAATACCAATGAGCTAATCTTAAATAAATTTCTAGCTACTAAGTTGACAGGTGCATATTATTAGATTGGATTAATAAGGAATTGGTTGTTACTATAAATGATAAAAGAAATTACATATATATATATATATATATATATATATATATATATATATATATATTTTCTGAAGCGATTTAATTCCTTTATTTATTTTTCAAAGGCTAAATAAATACAATATTTAAGACAGAAATCATTAACTGTATAATATTAATAGAAATCATTAACTGTATACCGTAAATTAACAGACTCTACTAATAGATCAACAGTATTAGTAGAGTCAGTTAATTTACGGTAATATTCATTTTTGATATCTTTTTATCAAAATATGCAAGTCATAATGTTTAAAACTTACCTCATTATAAGTACTGACTACAACTAAAATGATATGAACGGTTGAGAAAACTATAAGTAAGCAGACGTAAATATGAATAAAAGTTTCTCGTAGCTTATTGTCATATCTTCTATATAGTCCTTCCAAATCTTTTTGATAAAATTGATCCTGTAAAAGCGATATAAATTGATTTTACTCATTACGTAATTCATTAAAATACCAGCTTAATGCTGCTGTGTTTCGTATGGTATGTGTAGTGAACCGGAGAACCCTTTTTACTGGAAACGAGGCATTCCATCTTAGCCTTCAGGGAGAGATATTGCATCTGCATTTTGATTCTTAATCGAGGATGGATGTAGATCTCCACGAGCTACAGAATTTTTTTACCGTCAGGTGGACTGTGTCCTCGTTTGTCATCCCTATTTTATTAAAAAAATGTCTACATGAAAAATTTTCGTGGACATGAACAAGCCGGAATCAGGTGATAGGTCGAATCATTAAAAATTGCAGACACAGCCAACTGCTCCAGTCCAGAAGGAAATATAATTTTTTTCCCAACCAAGTATTAAAAATTAATACTTTGCCCAGTTTCAAATGACTGCACTGGAAAAAAATATACTACACTAGTTTGGAAAGTAACTTTTAAAGTTGGAGAATTTAATAAGGATTCCAAAACCGTACAGTAGAACCTCGATAAAATAAAAATCAAGGGAAACGTCAAAAAATTTAAGTTATTGAGGCTTTTAATTTCTAAGTGTTTAAGTTAAGGAGTTTTTATTGGTTTATGTTTGTACTTACAGAGATTCGTTCATGAGCTCTGTTTAGGTATTTATATACATACATAGACGAGTTAGGTTAAATGCAAATGAAACTTAAATGTTAATCCATACATATTATTTAGGTACTTGATTTTAGGTTTAAAGATACATTTATTCAAGTTTATTTTATTCTACTTAAAAAAAGTCTGTAATTTCTTTGTTAAACTATTCACACTTTCTATATCAATTTTATTTTCAATATTAAAGAAAGAAGAGAAAATATCATCATCTGTGTTACTGCATTGTTCTATAAAATATCGTAAAAATCTCTAAAAAAGCTAATTATACAAATAAGTCACTGTACTTAGTGTATTGAAGCCATTTGGTAAACACCGTAAGCAATAACAATGATCTACAGGAAACCTTTATTGTTTGCACATTCATTTAAAATGACTCATTGATAGATATAGATGAAAGATGATTGAAGTTGCAAAGGTCGTCTTGCTTACAACTTTCAGTAACTGAGGTGCGATACGCATATTATTCCTTTAAGTTTTAGAGGGTTTGTATTTTAAGTAAAAGAGGTTTTGAACTCCGAGTGGAAGGGAACACAAAATTTTATGAATTTAACAGATTACGTTATTGAGATTTAAGTTATCAAGGTTCTACTGTAATAACACTTGCAAGATTATCGAAGTAAAATTTCTTTACGCAAGCTTGACTTGGGTAGTAAGCTGGCCAACGTCTGACGAAAGCGATACGAAAAGTGTGATCTGGCGAGACGAACGGAAGTTGAGTGAGGGATATAAGCAAGAGAGAGCGGTGTGCGCACACATTTTCTTTCTCACTTTCTCTCATAGCCAGTAATTTTTCGTAATTTTATTTCGTTTTGAAAAATTTTATTAATTAATATTGTGTTCTACATTAAATATTCTACGTTTATTGTGAATAAAATTGTA